CCCAAGAGCAGTATTCCCGGAGCAATAAGGCGAGTGAACATTCAGTTGTTAGAAGTTCTTGATCTATTTTTTGTCCAGTGTAGAAAAAAAAATAAATGTTTATGTTGATGTGGAAGGTCTAGTGCAGCATAATTTAGTATGATTTTTTAAAATGTATGACCACGACCAATTAGAGGGCTAGTAATTGTTACATCATATAAATCTGAATATATTATACTGAAAGGAAAAAGAAACGCAGGTAAACTTTTGAGGTGAATTAAATTCATATGTCTTTCAATTTTTTTTTCAGTATTCCTATCTAACTTTCAAAATCATCTTTCAAAAAGATATAAACAAAATTTCATTTGATTATGTCTTATAATTCTTGAGTTATTGAAGCTCATATGACGATACCCCCCAGAAGTGAAAATCGAAAACACTCATTATCTTCAATGTCCCTCCTGCACATCTGTCATGAGCGTTATTTCTCCTTTGCATGGAATTCATCAGAGTGATTATCTTTTAAACCCTGGCTATATTGGGCATCGGTAACCACACCAAAAAATTAGTCATGCAACGCGCGCATGCGCGAGTGAGAGGAACACAACAGTAAGTTGACATGCTCAGAAAACCAAATTGCAGAATTGTTTTCTTTTATTTTTTGTGTGAATGTAATGACTAGAATAGTCTACTGTATAAAAGGCGGTATTTTTGGCAGTAGGGTTGCGATTTGAGAGATGGCAGGACGAATAACCCGCTCGTAACATGGCTCTGTTTCGCGTTAACGTCATCGTCACGGTTCATTGAAAACCCTTCCAGGCCCTCTCTGACTACGGGTAACAAGTTTTATGGGGGAAAACTTACAAGAAACTGCTTAGTTACCCGTTGTTGCCTTTTTCATTTATTAGGCAATTCTAAAATTTGACCCTACTTAACTTCCGTAAACTGTACCAAGATTGCAAGAATTCATATCGTCACTAAATATTGAAAAACAATGTGTATACCTCAGGTGTATCATATGGTGCAACAAGATTTGTTGACAAACTCTTCGTTATCAAATTGCACGTGTTTTGGGCTTTTTACCGTTTTCCCTATATGACGTAATACATTTTACGGTTGAGTAATTCTGAACACTGGTTTTAGTGCATAGTAACTAAATTTCTCATCTGACCAATTTTCGTAATTTTCGGTAATGCGGTCAAAAAGTTTTCGAATATTATGCTACCCTGCGTTTCTTTTTCCTTTCAGTATATAATATCCAAATATAAATTATCAGTATAATCTACGTAAACCATAAATTTTCTTGATTGTCCAGCTCTGATTCTGTGTCCCTACATTTGCATTTTGTAATTCTCAGTCAAAAATTTAACTGAATTCTCAAATATTTCATGCTGTGAATTGATAATTTTGTATTGAACAGTGTTTATAAATTTACAAATTTTGAAATTTACAAAATCTGAAAGAAGAAAATGTTTGTGTTCAGTCCCCCCTCGATTCTTGATACAACCTTACACTATCCTAACAAAGAAATGTGGATCAAGTTGCCTTGTAAAGTTCTTGAAGTGTTCAAGAAAATTTTGTTGTCAAGAGAAGTGTTGACTAGATCGAAATCAAGAATGGCTTAGGTCTATTGGTACGAAAGCTTGTAAGTGATAGGAATCACGAGGAATCTGCGAGGCGCTCTTAAATTGTATTTTTCAACTTTTCTCACCAAAATATGCACACAAGGTGATTCCAGATGATAAAGTTTGAGAATTTTCTTGCTAATAGAATGTCCTTTCTACTCTAAAAGACAACAAATATATACGAGGTCACAAAATAAAGAGCTACATGTCTTGAATATCAGAGATTTTTTTATACGTCCTGCTTGAAAAGCGGGAGGGTATAGAGTTATCGGTATGTCTGTCCGTCCGTCTGTGACGCTTTGGGGTACCATCTCTTATCCGCAACTCCTCTCATACCACTGAATGAAATTTAATGAAACTTTCATAGAATCTTTATCACATACTGCCATTGTAACCTCCTATTTTACTTTTTGATCCAACACATACTTTGGGTTTCCCATAGCAAAACATGGGCACTGTCATTATATTTATATGGGAGACGGGGGTATCATTTAGTGAGCTAATTGCTCACAGTTTATGTACCTCTAGTTCATAAGGTTTTGAAAAACAAAATAGACTTAACATTTGAACATGAATGTGTTGTTCCTTGAGTGTTGGTTGATTGATTGTGTACTGTTTAACGCCGAGTCGGCGATTTTTCAGCCATGTTTCGTTGGACTATCAGTTTAAATACTAGTAATCGGTTTTGGAAGGATATGGTTTATCTGGCGGCCCCCAGTGAGCTTACTCTTTTTCGAACTCCAGAAAAACGATCTTTTTCATGCCAAGGGGGTTGTCATCCTTGACATGGGGCACCATTTTACTTGAGTGTTGAAAATACCGAAATTCCGAAAACAGGCCGAAACATTTAGCAAATAAAACTGGAAAAGAAGATGTTAAAGGATAATACTAAGTCTCTTATAAGTGCTAAGCTAGAACAAAGTGTTCGACGAAATCGGACAAGAATTTCTTCAGTTATCATTGATGGTGTGCCGAGTGATGTTGAGGTAGAAGTGCGAGTTGATAATGACAGGATTCAGGAGTGATTTTAGGTGGATAGGGGCTCAAAGGCTTTGGAATTCGGTCAAATACGAAGGGGAAATTTTGGAAACTCTAGAGTCAAGTTTGTTTTATCTATTTCAAGAACAAAATGAATCTTTTCAGGTATTTTTAAATTTTGTTTTCAAAATACTATATATACTACATGTATATTTACTATATATATAAAAAACAAACTGTGATTTTTGTTTCTGCAAAACGACTCAGAATTAAGTAGTTTCTACGAAATTCGAATGTATAAGATATCATCTTGAATCCCAATTTTGAGCTAATTAACACATTTTAAATTTAAACGACTCAATTTTCCGATTTAAAGTGATCAAATTCGTTTTCTGTTGGCATTTTACACAGTTGTACTACGCTCAATAAGAGATTCACAAATCCTTTCTCCTGTGTAAACGACATGAAGAGTTAAATAATTTAAGAAAAAGATGAATATCCGCTATTTTGAATCGCCATTTTGACTTTTAACTTACAGCTGCATCATCATTCAATTGTAGAATAGTGAGATGTAGAGGGCAAAATACAAATCTGCAGTGTATGGATATTTGCAAATGTAAAACCCTGAACAAAGATGAATATAGAAACAAAAAATCAGAGAAAATTCGTATTAAGTGTAGAAACGACTAAGTTTTCGGAGTTAAACTAATAATGTTATCATTTTTTTATCATTTTTATACTTGTATTACACTCAGTGAGATATTCACACATTATTTCTCCTTTTTGAACGATATTAAGAGAAAAGTAGAAAAATTTGATGTCCGCCATTTTGAATCGCCATTTTGACCTCTTTAACGCCATTTTCATGAAGGCCAGCATATTTTTTCGGATTCAGCATACTCGAAATAGGTCAAAAAACTATGCTGGACCAAATAATAATTATTTGCCGTTAGAAGTATTTTTTCCCATAAATCGGACCAGACTATTAAGCTCATGTCTTGTTTAACTATGTCCTGTGCAATACTGAGCTCAGTTTCACTAGTATATATATATTTTTACAGCTAACCAATAACATGACGATCTTGCGTTTCAACGTAAATTTTCAAATATTGAATGATAGGATTTTTTGCAAATTAATTTTTTTGTTTTTGCAGTCGTCTTAAAAAGACATGTTAGCTGACATATTTTTTATCTATACTGAAAAAATCCATTATGGACCGATTAATGGACCCAGAAACATTGAGAATTAAAACTCCACTTATACACTGTGGGGTATAATTTGTTAATCAATATCTCAAATATATGCTTTAAAATATGTAGGACATACTATATTAGAGATCTAAAAATATGAAGAAAATTAAACGACAGGAATTTTTACAGCTAAAGGTCCTTCTTCCCCTTAATACATACATGCATGCATAAAAATTATGTATATTTAGCAGAAGTTTAAATACAGCCCAATTAACACTATCATAGGTAGGGATAAACATATGTACTACCTCAATGTTATCAGGAAATATACATATGTTCCTGAACCCCACTGTTTAGATGTCAATCTATCAATCACTAATGTCACTATAAAGTTCTTTAATCTGTGGCTCGCTCGATAGACCATATCCAATAGACATTAACAAATAGCCTATTGATAACCTTAGTAATAGTTATTGACCTTATGTAACTCTTGAATGCATCTGACTTCCATCGACCTAAGAGTCTAATTTTACTGTCACTTATGCCAACATCTGCACAATGTGATGCCATGCCTATCCGGAACGAATGACTACTTATTTTATTTATGTCAATATTTGCAAACAATAAACAGTTTTTTTTAAGTTTGTGGAGAATTTACACCTAGTTACTGGAATACTAGTATCTGGAATATAGGAAAACAGGGGCCCTTTTGTGTCCCTCTTAAACTAATATAAGTTTTGAGGCATTCTTTTAATGTTTTTTTGTCCTCAATTAAATTACCTAATTCCTCTGAATTAAAAAGAAAAAAAATAAATAGAAGACGCTTTCCCGAAATATTAATATAACTTAATATAACGTTAATATAACTGTTTCCGGTGGAAGACAACTTTATCCGACGTGATTAAGCAGTTTTTCAGGGCATATGGATAATAATATTATATGTGTGATATAATGGGAAAACTTATTAAAAATGTTATATAAGCTGATATACAAATGGGTAAAAAACTTTCAATAAATGTTATTTTACAATGATGAAATATGTGGATTTTTCTATTTACTTTAGACAAAAACTTTGGAACTTTTATTTCCTTACTGTAAAAGAATTTAAAAATTTGATTTACTATAGTGAAATTTTTTAAACTTTAGTTAACTATAGCTTACCATATTACTGTTTTGTAAGGGAATATCCAATGATAGTTGAAACCCGTTATTTTACTTTCTTACTAGTACTAGGGTATAATACAAGAAGAATTCAAGGGTTTAATATTCGCCTCTCAAACACAACCCAGACTATTCCTCGGCACATCTGTTATCAAGACGATGGATCTAGAAGGATACCTCCAATTTTGGAAATAATGTGTGAAGGAGCGGCCCAATACGTATGGGTTTACACAAATAGGAATTTTGGATTTGGAGCATTTCTAGAAATATGCGAAATGAAGGTGTTTGGTAAGCTATCTGATACATTGTATAAACCCAACGAAACGTTGTTGATATTATTAGATTTTGCTGTGCATAAAAAATATATTTTATCTGAGCAGATTTTGTTGCTACTTTTTCTTAAACAGCTGAGCTTGAGCTTAATTGAACAAAAAGTATACTTTCATTTTATATTTAGCATGGAAATTATTATCTTTTTTGGATGGCTAGTTAATTTTTGTTAGATTTTAAGTACTAAATCATTACTTGTCGCTAATATGTAAACTTAAATTGGTAGAATGTTACATTGATGACTTTTATATATGTTCATATTCTATTTTTCACTCATGCCGATCTTAAATAAAATATTTCCTTATACCTCTCTCTAACTATTGATCAATATAGAATAATCTTTTTAAAGTTGAACTGGATAATTTGAAATGTATTTCTTCACCGTAACTTACATACTGAATCTAAGATATGATATATAAGATATTATCAGAATGAGATTGTTACATGTACACTTTGTACATTGCTCAGTTTTATCTGGAACTTTTGATATATCGATTATTTTTTTTTTATATAGACAAACTTTTAAATCTGGAAATCTTTAATCAAGCAATTAAGGACAATGAGAAAAGATTGTAATTAAACGGGACAGGAAATAAAATTTTTAAAATAAAACTAAAAAAATTAACTTATCTAAAATTTTACAGTTTGATATAGGCTCCTACATGTATCTATACACATTTTCCCCTTAATAATCAAGTTTCAGTTTTACATGCATCCATATTTATTTTCTTGTTTGTATGAATTCATGTTCAAATCTCTCGACTTGAACACCTATCATCCATGTTGTTTAGCCTGTTCCAGCATATGCACATGTAAAAGAGCTATTAACATATTGTATAACCAAACAGGTTGTTCATACCAGGACAGTGATGGAAATTGTATCCCTTGTGACCAGTGTAAGGGTGATTGTAACATCAACGGGGAATGTGACGAACAGGGGTGTAAAAATGAAAGTCTAAGTCCTCCATACTGTAAAGGTATTTCCTTATATATGTTAAATGTATATCTCTTTTATACATATATCTCAGATAGTAAGAACAGTATTGTATTATTAAGCCGGTCATCATGACTTATCATTTGTATATGTTAACTATAAAATATTATAAACATCATTTGCTTTGCGATGGGAGAACTAGTCGTTGATTGTTGTCGGTGCATATATTAGTGAAAAAAAAGATGAAAAAACGCATTTATTTAGAATGCAGAAAAGGTTTATACGGAAGAAATTGCAGTAATGCCTGTGGATTCTGTGATAAACAAGCAGTATGTGATCAGGTAAATGGTTCTTGTCCCTCGGGACACTGTGAACCAGGATGGAAACATACACTTGATCAAAGATGCAATGAAGGTATTGATGTAATTATTAATTATTTTTTTTAAATAAGCATTTCTATAACTCGCATACATGTGTACTTTAGTTTGACACGTACTGTTCTTAAAATCAATGTGCATGTTTGACTGCAGAATGTGATAACAGAACCTATGGGTTAAACTGTAGTCACAATTGTGGACGCTGTGCAGAGGGGTTATCGTGCAACAAAGTTGCCGGGACCTGCCCCAAGGGTTGTGAAGATGGATGGACGAATATCTACTGCAATGAAAGTAAGCACACTGTTCCAATTTAATGAAATTAAATAGGAACAAATGTGTGGTCCTGCATTTATGCATTAATTTTGATATGGATTTAAATTTATATTAAAAAACTCAAAATGTAAAAGGTAAAATTTCCATTGAACAAATCGTTAAATATTTGTATTACGAGAAAATACAAGTAGATATCAGTAGGGCAGCATCTTCTAAAACTAGATATTGAAACGTTTGTGACTTTTTTATGTATTTTATACAGTAACTTGAATGTTCTATTTTAGAATTTGATCAATAGAATGTCTTTAATTAATTCATGAAGTGAAAAGTTTAGAGGACACTCTTCAATATCTTGGGCTGAGTACTACATGTTTTTCAAAAGCTGATGATTTTTTTTTTCATATCGGATGTCAAGTTCCGTTTATCTGTACGTCTGTCAATTTCATATCTGACAAATATTCGTTGCAGTTTCCTCAGCAACTACTCATTACAGATGCTTGAAATTCTAGCAGATACATGTACTTTGTTGAGGCATACCATATGGTTGGATTTTTTTTTTATATATGAACCTGGTTTCAACTTTCTATTAATTTGTGCATCTGCCCGTAATTGAACTTGTGTATATTAACATGATAGTGTATATTTACATCAGAGCGGGGGTATTACAAGTGAGCACTCGCTCACATACTGCTTGTTTTTGCTTTTTTTTTTTTTTTTACTTTTCTGATAATTTATTTCCAAGAAATTTTTTTTGAAATTGCAATGCATGCGCACATATTTGTGAAAAAAATTATCTACCGTAAATATACTGACACGCAAAAGAAACGCAACACCCTACTTTTGGGGAAATAATTATGTAAAGTAAAGAATTTTGTATTTCAAAATTATGGATATCTTCAGTTTGGTAAATATCGGTAATTTAACGGTTGAACGATTTTCGTACAATAACCGGAAGTCAAGTTTGAGTCTGCTAAACAGAAATCAAAAATTGCATGTTTAAAAAAACATTTGGCAATATTATGGGAGTTTTAAGAGTTTATACTGTTCATCTTAAGTAAAGCAGCAATATTTCAAAAAATAAAATCTCCTTTCTTTTCCCGTTACGATGCTATGGCTTCTCGAAAATGGCTTAAGTAAGCATTTCCATTGCCCTAACTGGAAAATCTCAACGTAAAGATGATGGAGAGTTGATGATGCAAAAATACACTGCATTACGCCTCAACGGGGTCTTATGTATCATATGCATAAATGATAGTCCTTGGACCGGAAGTCCAAGAGTTACTTCAATGTGCTAAGTTAGAGAAAATTCGACCTAATCATCCCAAAAACAGTCATTTAAAAATGGCAAAGAATAATTCCTTCGCTCATATCTCGATATTGATTAACCTATTGTATCGTAAAAATCAAGCTGCAATTGTTATTTACGACAGTCTTGCACGTTGTAATTGAATGGCTGGGAGGGGGGTGTTTTAACAGTCATATGTTACTTAGTAAAGTTAAAAGATAAACATTTAACATTTTTATCAAATTCCTGATGTTCTGAAAAGTGAGTTTAGCCTTACTGTATTCGTTTTTGAAAATCATAAGATAAAAAAAATCAAACATTTGTAGATTACTGCTTGTTGCGTTTCTTTTGCGTGTCAGTATATTTTCAGATTACGGTATACCAAACGAAAAGACTTCAACTTTTACATTGGCAACTTTTTTTTCAAATGTATGTAATCGAAGTACTGTAGATCACTAAATTTTCGCGACACCTTATTTTCGCGAGATAACTGTTGACTCTTTATAAGCGATACATGTTTTTTTACAAATTCTTGTTTCCCGCTATATAATCGTAAGGAATACTTTTATACGCGAGAATGAAATTTTCGCGAGCTCATTTTCTCGCGTAATTACGCGAAAATAAAGTTCTCGCGAATAAAACGTGATTAACAGTATTCGACAAATCAGCCCATTCCCGACTTTCGAAAATATAAAATGATGCTAAATGTGTGGCTATCAAATTTATTGAGCAATTATTTTACGTTTTTGATGACTGGTGACGCGTTGACCAAACCTTTTTCGCTTTTTACAGTTCTAAAAATAAATCAGACATATGGCTTCTGTATCTTTTGTTTCCTTTAAAAATAGGAAAGATACGAGGGCTGTTCGAAAATTATTGAGACATTGTGTATATTTTGCTTTCTAATTAACGTCTTTCGGTGAAATTTTGCATATACGTTTGACATACACTAAGAACTAATAAAAACAAGAAACATTTTACAAATGTCAAACATTTTCTCTACAACGGTATATAAATGCTTCAAAAGTAGAGGTACCAGGAACAGTCACGAAATCAGATATTGGAAATATGCAGCAACAATGTTTAACTCTTTGTGGATCCATAATAAGAGCGAAAATTATTCAGTTTAAGTGTATAATTTTTCAAATTCATGCTGTGAAACTTTGATAGAATTTTTATCAGAAATACAGAGATCGTAAAAAAAATAAGCGCGGTAGAGAAATCTTGTAACAACGACAAAATTGATTTTGACGTCAAGGGCGGAGCAGCCAGCATACATAAAATTTGGTGTAGAACTCTTTTTCCAGACAAAACGACCTGCTAAAACAGTAAAAACGAAAAAAAGATGTTTTTGATTGATATACATTCTTTATTTTACAATTTATTTAACCAGAGTAAAATTAAAAGCCCTGGACGACCATGAGTTATAACGTACGGTATTAATATCCTTATGGTATGAAACCTGCGTTGCATAAATCGGCACTGCATTATTCTAAGTAATCCTTTCCCACAAATGAAAAATTTTCACTGAGGTAGCAACAGCATACATTTTTAAAGAATAATTTAAGAAAAGAGACTTTGATTTTTGTGATGTTATACTAATAACAAAGAAAGGCGAGTATTAAACGCTTCCCGACCGTTTCACATGCGAAAGCATCTACGACTGACGTGACCATAGGCGTAGTCACAGGGGGGGCAGCGGGGGCACTAGCCCCCCCCACTTTCAGATCTGGGGGGGCAAGAGTATGTCTGTGCCCCCCCACTTTTTAATGAAGAACAAAATCACAGCTATTTTTCCCCAACATTACCTTTACTATGGAAAAAAATTGGATTTGAAAGTAACTTGCCTTTGAAAAAGTTGGCCAATACCCCCCCCCCCCCCCCCCCACGAAATAGGATTTTCGAGTTTGGGGAACGTTCTTTTTTTTTTTTTTTTTTTTTGTTTTGCTTGTCAAAGAATTTCTGGAGTTGAGCCCCCCCACTTTTAAACTTTGTTTTTTTTTTTTTTTTTTGCTTGTCAAAGAATTTCCGGAGTTGAGCCCCCCCACTTTTAAGTTTGTGACTACGCCTCTGGACGTGACGTTAAATAAAGTAGCGATGCTGCTCCGGGTCGATAGACATATACATGTTTATTATTTCACCGGAACTTATCCAATTATCATAGGAATTAGAAATTTTGCATAAATGTTTTATTCATTCTTTATAAAAAGTCGATGAATTTTCAATAAATTATCTCCGTCCTTTATGGAGTAAATGTAATTGTGTCAATAAGTTTCGAACAACCCTTTCTACAGGGAAAATAAATGTTGCCTTTTTAGCTCACCTCAACGAAGAAGTGGAGCTAATGTGATATCCTCGGCGTCGGCGTTGACGTCCGAGGTTAAGGTTAAAGTTTTTAATTTGGAGCAGTTTTTCTTTTAGGTTACCTGAGTAATCTCAGGTGACCTATTGCTATTAGTTTTCGTCCGTCGTCGTGTTTTATCATTTGAACATGTTCAGCTTCTCTCTTCTTCTTCCACTCAACCATTTTCCACCAAATTTTGTACAAAGTATGAAGGGAAACAAAAATTGTAAATTTCCTCCTTAGGGCCTGAGATATGGGGTCAAAACCACTAAAATTAATGAAATCCTTGAAAATCTTCTTCTTTACTTCTGGACAGCAAGCAGTCAAACTGTTGGCATGATTGTTCACTCCCTGAAACGTTCTACTTTCCCATTTTCCGTTCACTCACCGTTCGTTCTCCGTTCGTTCGTTCAGCGTTCGTTCACCGTTCGCTCTCCGTTCACAGTATTGCGTTCACCGTTCACCGTGCGCTCGCGCTCACCATTCATGAAACGTTCAACGTTCGCTCTTCGTTCCGTTTACTTTGCGTTCACCTTGCGTTCACTGTTCAATTATCGTTCAGTCTTCATTGTCATTCGTAACTCCGAAGTGAAAGAACTTCTCTTTTTGATGGTAAGTATTTACACGTTTTTTAATTAAATAACTTAGATATCGTGTTTGAAGAATAATCATTTATTGCAAAAATATCTTTGATATTTGTATTTCTATTATCATAACTCAGCTGTTACTTTATTCATGAAATTTACCTGGAAAATAATACATTAAGTACCTACATGTATGTAGAACAATGCTTAAATGTTAAATTTAAGAAAGGGCAATGTACAAATGCTTCACGCACGGCAAAAATTTGTTGTAATGTTAAAGACAACAAGTCATAAATGGATGTAAAATAATCAATCCAAGTCTTTTACAAGACAAGAATACACAAAAAAATTAGTTTTACAGTAACATGTATAATGGTATTTACACTTAGGTCTGAGAATTATGAACAGTTCTCCAAATATTCAGTTAGTTAAATATCTTGAGAGCTAATTGAATTGATAGAGAGGTTTTAAATGTTAAAAAAGAAAAACTGTTTATAATAGTCTATTATTAGAGAAGGAAAAGTCTTTCCTTCACCGTATCAAAATATATGTTTGCAATTTAGTCTAATTAAGCCCCCCTCCCCCTCCCCCCCCCCCCCCCCACCGGGTGCATTTTCTCCCGAAATTAAATTCTTTATCAGTATTTTCAGTACATTTTGATTAATATTTAATGTGTATTGTAACACAAGAAAATTAGTCTTAAAACCAAAATCAAACAGTCATTTACACTGTAACTATAGTATTTCAAAATATACATGAGTAAACAGTAGTATTTGAAATTGGAAGGGAATATGTTTCAAATTCTATTTAAAACTTAATCCTTACAAAGTATATATTCCCATT